TCTTTCTGAGATCATCATCAGGGCTGCAACTGGCAAGGCAAAAACTGTGTAGTTATCCATTACTAAATTTATTTTCATATTAACTAAAGCATAACTGTCAGCCGTAGCATTTAAATGCAAAAGAAAAAAATTCAGTTGAAAAGATCTGCCTGTATCATTTTCTTTTACATTTTTTCAATTTGTACCAAAGTTGGCATACAACTGCATGAAATTTGGAGAAAATGTCCAAAATCTATGATATTTCTAAGAATATTTAACCATCTCCGGTGATGCTAATATTGTTGAGGGGAAAAGCTTTTCTAAACTTCTAGCATTTTTCTGCGAAATGGTTATAAGTAGTCCAACAAAAAAATTGACAATTGTACAGTTCCACCACAAATCCAGATATGCATCAGTTTATAAACAGACAGGAAAAATATAAAAGAAAATTAAACAGACTTTGTTCATCAATTTTAATTTGTTTGAAAAGTAAGTAAATAAAAATTTTAAAAAATGCATGTGTGAAAATGTACAAAAGATTTCGTTTTAAGAATTTTCAAAAACCTTTTCTTATTTGAAACTATTTCAGATCAAATTAAGGAAATAGAAAACTAGCACTATTAATATTAAAATAATTTCTGTAATATTTTTTATGAACCTATTGATTAAACTATTTTTCAAAATTCCTTATCTCAAAGAAAGTATGGAAGAAAAATATATATCTAAAAAAAAAAAGATAGATATATATATATATATATATCTTACTTATTATAAAACGCAGATTGTGTGTGTGTCTGTACGTTTATATATTGGATCGGATTTCCTACATTTTTCAACCAATTTCAACAAAACTTCACAGGACTACGTAAAATTACCTTGTGGTGGTTCTAACAGCGCCCAAAATTGGAAAAACACAATTATTTTTGCACGAAATCAATTTGAAAACACGATTAAGAGGCATCGCGAGAATGAAAGGGGGACAACTCGTATCAAGTTATACTTATTATAAAACCCAGTGTGTGTGTGTGTGTTCGATTATATATGGGATCGGATTTCCTACATTTTTCAACCAATTTCAACAAAACTTCATTTTGGGGAGTTTCTTATTGTCTTGCACACTTTTTTCTTTATTTCTACATTCAGAATGCTTTAAAAATTCCATTTACAAGACAATTGTTTATAATAAAATTCTATTCAATCGGTAGACTCATAATGATTGAAAACAATGTTTTTTGTTTGAGTTTGGGTTTGACCAATTCGTAAAAAAAAAAAAAAAACTAATTAAGACATGCGTGTCCATCAACCTTAAACAATAATCTTTGTCAATTTTATTTTTCAGTCTTTATGATGGTCGATACTTGATCTATCTCTTACTGTTACATCCCCGGGCAATGCCGGGCTCTACTGCTAGTATATATATATATAAATAAAATAAAGAAACCAATCTCTAAAAATTTATTTAAATGTAACTCTGGCCATAAAGAGAATATTTAACTCCATAACATGTAAAATGATAGCTATGTACTCAAAGCCTACACTTTCATATTTAATACCCAAATTACTGTAACCTGATCCAAGCTACCTTCCCTGAAGACTACATTTTCAAAAATGTACCAAAGTACTTATTAGTAACATTAATAAAGCTTATAAGTATAATTTCTTTCACACTGTACTAATTGGCCAATTTTTTTTGAAACCAAACTTGACTTTATAAGCATTCATTTTGCTGCACCTGTTTCGTTCATCTCAGCCAGCATAAGATGTCAGCATTTCACTTCAAAATATTTCAATCTCTTATATTTTTTTAATTAATTTATCCACATTTAACAGGTGCTCTTTCATAAATTAGCATCTTTTTCTATATATATATATATATATATATATATATATATATATATATATATATATACCACTGCATACTACCTCCGAACCCTTCAAGCCTGATTGGGAAGACGGCCCTGGGCAGTGCTTTGTTACCCTATCTTATCAACATTTGTTTATTTTTTTCCGACCTACATTTATATATGTTACAAATTAAACTAAACACAACTGACTATTAAAGGATCATTCTGGGGTCTTCATTTTTTTTTTTTTTTTTTTTTTTTTTATTCGTCCAAATCCATGAATTTGTTTTGCACATAAGTTTTGAGAAATCACAATATAAAATTCACTATTTTTTATCCACTATGTTGAAGGTGTGAAAATTATTCAACAAGAAAATCTCAAATTGATGTCAAAAATTGCCGCAAAACATTGTTGATTTATTTAAGATGGAATGATCTATTATATCTCTAATTTGTATTTAGATACATTGTATTTATTTTAAGCTTTTCTAGTTGAACTGTTCACCTATATTGCATATGATCCATTATTGTACATAATTAGGTTACAATAAAATTTGAATACTACCTTATGAAAATTGAGATGTAGTAATGTGCCCTATATCATAGATTCAGTGGGGGCCCATGAGACCCTTACACTAGTACTGTATATATGTAAAATTGGATACTGTCAATACAAAGTGGCATCCTTCAGTTTCATGTTTGTACAATGTATATAATCTTCAGGCCATATGTGTTGTATTTTGATTAGACTATATATCCTTGTCAATGGTGCACTATTGATAAGGTCTATTGTATTATCCAAATGGTTATTGGGTAGGTGGTAATGATTATAATGTTTCAAATTATTCTAGAGCCTTTTGAGTGGAAATAATTGTGGATCCGAATGCAGATATTTGTAACTAGAGCATTTTTGACTTTTTACTCATTATTTATTATTCATTCCTTAATTATTTGTTTATTATTATTATTACATGCTTCTTTGTAGTCTGTGAATTTGTTTATTTATTCCTATATGCTCTGTCTCTGATACTGAGCACTTTTACCCATGAATATAGTATACCTTAAAACTATATTTTTTTTTCATATATAAAAGACTAAGATGGTGTCTCAAGCCATGAATGGCAAACTTTCTAGAGATTGTCTTGAAAACACTCTGTCTGAGTTGGGCATCAGGAAGATTATCTGGCCTTGTATGACCTTGCCTGTAATCCTTTGTCAGGCAGGACACCTTGATTTGTACAAGATTAATTCCAATCAACAAAAAAACATGGCTATATATATATATATATATATATATATAATTATAATGGCAGCATCTTTTCATTAAGACATGTCTCATTAACTAATTTAGACAAGTTTTGTCTACTTATTTTTAATAGATTCTCTCATAATTAAAAATAAGTTTCCTAGTATCCTTATTAAAGGAAGAAAGAAAATAAGTGTTAACGCATATTCATTTTATTCCAAGTACTTTCAACATTAGCACAATGTCATCATCAGGTTCTTGTTTTTTTTCTAAGACAAAAAATTTTGTTCATCTGAAAATTAAATTTTTATGCGTGAAGTGAAAAATGCTAATGTACTGTACAATTTTAAAATTCTATCATGTAGACATGTGCAAACGTTAATGGAGGAAACTAAGTTATTGAAATGTTTATATATATATATATATATATATATATATATATATATATATATATATACACACAAGAACTTCGGATCATCAATCTAACAGTCCTATTATATCAATATAGGCATACACACACACACACACACACACATATATATATATATATATATATATATATATATAATGAGCACAGCAACAAAATTACTGTGGCCTTGTCACACAATTCTCAGCTCCCTGTCAGCATCAAGTCTTGTCTTTGATAGAATGGTGTGTTTGTATTTCTGCAAAATACTTATTACTTTTCTTCTTTAATCCTTATATTATTTTTATTCACAGATGGACACCAAAAAATTTTTAGTGCCACCAAGGTTTATATAGAATATTTTTCTGTTCTCATATCATAAGACAAGTTTGCTTATTTTCCCAGTCTGATTGGTTGAAATGGAACCACCATTTTTTGCATGACTTTTTAAAATCTTTCTCTATAGATTCTGCTTCTTCTTGTATGTAAATTGCCATGACCACTTGTGAAAGGTAGAAGTTTCCTGTTATCTTCTTCACAGTTTATAATTCAGTGTTTTCCTTTTAGGCTAATATCCAAGGCTAGAGTGTCCAGTCTGCCCTGCTATTTTTTAAATCAATTTACCCCAAGCAAGGCAATGATGTCACTAAGATTCTGGTAAAAGAGAAGGAAAAGACTTTAGAAGGAACTGGAAGTCTAATCCTAAACTTGAAATAAGGGATAAATCTCTACTCCTGTTCAAAAAACTGGGGAGGAGTGTGAACCGGATAATAGGCAACCATAGCTAGTGGAAGTATGCCTTTCCCAAAGGTATTACGGTGAAAGAGATTAGGCTGGAATTTGTACCTTGTTCAACAATAACTGTTGCATGACCCATGTATCTTCCAGATGATACATGAACATTTATCTTTTACTTTTTTTTTTTTTTTTTTGCTGTCATTGATAAAACCAAAATTCCAAATAATCAATAAGTTTTAATTTATAAACTTAATTTTCTTTCTCTCCAAATAACAAGCATATTTCTTCAGCTGAAAGGTATACACATTTATTTATTATATTGAATAAGTCCATGGCTGGGTGAGTGCAATTAAAACAAATTTGCATATCAAAATATGTGTTCTCATTTTGATCAGAACTAGTTTACCCCACCTGTTTTTCTTCTTTTTTTTTTTTTCTTTTTAACCAAACATTTTTTTTTCAAACCCTAATTTATTTTCCCTACACATTTTTATTTATTTTTGCTAAACAACAAAAAAAGATTCCTCAGTTTTTCTTCCTTTTATTAATTTTAATAAAACTTATAAATTTTATTTTCCTAATTATTTCATCTTTGTTTTCATGACTTTCCTAATTTAATGACTACAGATTTTTAAAAAGAAACTGTCAAAATAATTTATCAAAAGAAATTGTCAAAATTAGTTTTAGAATATTTTTATAACTCTATTTGTAATAATGTCTTAGCATTTGCTATTCTTTACATTTATCAAATATTCTCTTTGATAAGCCTTACAGAAAAATCATTCATAAACACCAGTTCTCATTTGATCACCAAAGTTAAGCACCATTGAGCCTGGTTAGCACTTTGATGAGAAACCACTTAGGAACAATATGTACTATAAGAAACCTCCTACAATCAGAAATGTTTTGGCTTTAAATAACCCAAAAAAGGGTTGATAAGTCATAAAAAAAAAACAATCAATCTTTGATAAACATTGACTGAAAATCAGGTGACTTTAAAGGACTTAAATTTTTTTCTAAAGAAATTTTCAACACCTCTCTATTTCTTCATGCTAAAAAAAATTAAGATTTACTAAAAAATAGAAAAATGAAATAAAAAATATTCTGTTAAAATCCTTGAAGATTACCAGACAAAACAGAATTTATCAAATCACTAATCTGAACTGGATTAAAGCCAGTCAATGCTTTGAACACAATGGCCTCTTTTTTTTTTTTTTTTTTTTTTTTTTAATAGTTGAGATATACATATGGAGAAAATCAACACACATTATCACATTGTATTAATTGAGTTAGGCCAGTAACAGTAGCAGAGATTAAGGTATTGTTGTTGATGAAGTGCCTAGGTGCCACTGCTGATGGCCTGGTTAAGCTTGCCTACTGTGGAGTCTCACTAATGCCAGCCTGGTTGGGATCTACTACCATGGGTGAAATCAGCATTGGCTTTATAGTGAATCAGTGGCTCAGAACCAGCTGCTGTCAAAACTACATAGAAAGATCCAGTGGGGGCGGTGAGAAAAAAAAGTGTGCAGCCAGAGGATGGCAGTGACACAGCTGAACCATAACTTTTTCTAATTGGTCAGATGTTTTATGGGCCTGGTATTTTGGGACAATATTCAAGAAGGGGATGCACAGAACAAGATGAAATTAAGGTCTGTTTTTGTCATATGAGCTGTGGATGTCAAAGTGAGCACTTCTGTTTGTTAAACAATTGGAGTTCTGACAGGATACAACAATCTCAATGACCACGTGCTCTGAAAGTAGTTAGTATATTTCTCAACATACAATTTTTTTTTATTTAAAAGGAGTACATTTATATTTAATTAAAAACATACTTTTTTAAATAAAAAAGCACACTATCTTTTAAATAAATAAAAAAAAAAAAAAATAATTAGCTCTTGAAAGAAATCACCCAGTAATGTTAGGGCTTCTAACACTAACATTTTTGTTTGACATACTAGTCTCCTGAGGACACAGAATTATATATGAATGATAAAAATTATGATTACAATTACAAATGTTAAAATATAAGTAAATATTATTTGCAAAATTATATGCGTGTATTCTACAAGAAATGCATTATTTAGTGCAAGTTTGCTTATTGCTGAATCGAAAGCTGATTGTGATTGGAGCGAAGATGTAGACAAAAATTCAAACTTTCTAAATTAAGTCCATCTTTTTAACTTATTTTAATTTGTATGCATGATAGCTTTACTTCTGTTCATCTATTTTATCACTTTTTTGTCCAATTATTTACAAATTAATCATTTTTTTCTGCTTTTTATTAACTCCTCCACCCTACATTTTCTACTGCCATTTTTTTTCATTTTTTGATTTAACAATCTGCATGCTTTCCAGCCAACAAACAATGTTTTCCTTTTTTTTTTTTTTTGCTTTTTTTATTTTATTTTTAATTTTTACGAGCAAATAAGCCTTGTTTTTACATAACTGAAATATAACAATTTTACAACATCAAAATGTTTGCCAGCTTAAATACTATAACTGCCTAAAATATTTTCAATCATGTTTTTCATCTATTTTTTTTTTTTTTTTATGTAATTGTCTTATCAACTTCCCAAAAAGCTTTAAAATTATGAACCAACAAACAATTATCCTTAATTTTCATCAAGAGAAGTAACTTTTTAAAAAATTTAAATTAATGTAAATGTACGGAGATTGTCTTTTTTTGTAAGGTGAGGAAGGGTCACTATTATTACAAACGAAATTTCACGGTTATTTCCCTTGCTTAACTTGATTGAAAAACACGTGCAAAAATGAAAAATGATTGTTAGGAATTGCCTCACTAGTTTAACATCCTCAATAAAACAGACTGTTGGTCTATGTTCATTTTTGGGGGATTTTGTTGTTAAATAAATGATGTAAGGATTGCAATAAATTTCTTGAACAAAATTATTCTCAGAGAATTACAAAGTAGCTGCTATTCACCATATCCTCATGGCATCAGTTTAAACTGATACATAATTTTTATTCCCCACCCCATATATATATATATATATATATTTGTAAAAATTATGATATATATATATATATATATATATAAATTATAATTTTTATATATATATTATTATAATTACAGTAAAATCAACCTTGCTAACAAAAACGTTCCTCTGTGGGTAAATCGCTAAAGCATGTCAGGCTATATGACAGTTCCGTGTAGGATACAGGTTCAATTCCTGTCAGAGGATGCATATTTTCTATGAAAATTTCTCGGACATTCAGGCCGGTAAATGTCGCTAATACTGCTTATAACAAACAGAGCATTTACTTAAATATTTGTATCTATAAAAATGTCTTGTATAATAATTTTTGATACCACTCTTGCTTTATAACCAACTGCTTTGGGTGGATGGAGTTTGACAGCCCAGGAAGGCAGTCCAAAAAGGGCAGGGATTTCCCAAGGTTGGCAGTACTGCCACATTGTGGCCAGTGGAAAAATCCAGTGGGAGCAGTGAGAAAAAAAGTGTGCAGCCAGAGGATGGCAGTGGCACAGCTGAACCATAACATACAGCTCACCCTCACCCTGTATATCGTCCCTTCACATTGTAGTGTATCCCATTTTGTATGACTTTTATGGGAAATACTATGATACTCACTTGACATGCAAGACTAACACCAAGAAAATCCAATCAAGATGGGGGGGGCATTAGGGTCGTGTTTATGCATTTGGTTGGCATTAGTGTTGTTTTGGTATGCAAAGTAGCAGCATTCCTGAAACAGTTTGAGAAGAAGCACTGATCTAGGGGAAGGTAAAACCTGATTTTAAACCTTGACTGCCTTGTGGCCAAATCTAAACACTAAAAAGTCTAAGGGTGTAAATCCTGACAGAAAATTCTGAATAGATCCCTGGAAATGGTTGGCTGTCAATAATGACAAAAGTCTGGCAACTGCAGCAGCCAAGCAAGCCCCATGTGTAATACCGTTTCCCTTGGATCTTGTTAGTACAGCTGATTTATATATAATACATGAAAGGTTAAGGGTAAGAGTTGAATCAGACCAGGAAGCAATGGTATTAAAAAGGGCTCAATACACATGTGAAAAAAAAAATAATAAAAAAATAAAAATAACATGTAGAACTTTTAATTTTAAAAATCAGGTCAGTTGAATCCACTACCTTGGTTTCAAAATTGCCTGAGGATACCATAAGGTTGAAACTAAGGTGGATTCAACTGACCTCAGTAATATTATATATATATATATATAGCCCAAGCCTGTACTGAATTTTGACTAAACAGGGTGATACCATTAACTCATGAGAAAAACAGATGCCTATTACTACTAGATCATATTTGAGAAAATTTGAAAATTTCACTGAAATATGTTAGAAAATTTCCAGATTTTCATCTGAAATCAAGAAACCTAACTCACAATATGTGGGGGGAGAAGGTGTCAGTTTAAACTGATGCCAGGAGGATATGGTTTAAAACAAAATGGTTCCTGTGACAATATGGCTACTGCAGAATCACTCTCTTAGATCAAAAACTAAGAATTCACTGGCTTATGTCAGCAATTTCTCTTTCCTGTTAGAAGATAATCAATCAGTAACAGATTCGCTTCACTAAACAACAAATGCTATACTTTTTAATTTGATGAGCTTGCTTCTATAATTAATAAAAATACATTTGGCAGAAATTGCTATTCCTTACCCACCACAAAAAATGTTTCGATGCTTTTTAATCTGGTGTTGTGTGTTAAAAAAATCTTTACTAAATGGCGTATCTCTTCTACTTTACAGATTAGGCTCCCTCTTCAAGTTTTAGGTCTGAGATTTTCAAATGAAATTGGTTCCAATTTCTATTGAACTGAACAAATTGGACCACAAGGGAAAAGAAATTTGTAGGATAGACAGAAAAACCATGTATTCACTTCAGGTTAGAAGTTGGGATATTAACTCTTTCCTTATCTGGCCAACCAATCAATTTCTCATATGGTCAAACTTCACTTGTTTGAGTCAGTAGATAACTGAGGATTGACAGAACTATGATGTCTTGCCTGCAACCTTCTATGGTGCCAAGTTCTTCAACCTTCCTTGACTTGACTGCTCTGTGAGAATCTGGAACTCACATCATCTATTGCTCAATTTTCTTTCACTAAAGTCACCCAATAGAAAGCTCAAGAGCTCCTCAAGGTAGTGTTATTGAATGCAGTGTATGACCTGAATATAAAAGGAGGAAGTGACAATAAGGAGGATAGATAATGATTGATCCTTGACAGAGGTATTAAGATTGAAGTGTTCAGGGAAGCATTTATGCAGGTGAAGAAGCCCTTTGAGTAGAATTTCCTCCTTAGAATTGGAATACGGACAAAATGTGAGTGGTTCAACTCCAGACATAGCATGCTGAGTCTGAACTAGTGAAAAGAAAAAAAAAAAAAAATTTGAATCTCATCTGAACATTTGCCATGGAAATAGTGATAGATTAGTAATAAGCCAGCAGTGTTTCATCTGAGGCTACAGAATGGGAAATAAGTCATCCTTCATAAGAGAATGTAAAAGATTTTAGATTCTATCAGTTGAAAAGTGAAGCTTGGACAACTCTGGCTCAGTTATGGTTGCAATACTCCAGTTTTGACTCTTGTAAAGCATGCTAAGAGTAAGTTACTTTCAATAGCAATAGAATGAGCCAAGCATTTTATTGCGAAAACCTTGATTTGCATAATTTAAATCTTATAAAGTGTAATTAATAATTAAAATGTAAGAATATTTCAGAATTAAAATTAATTTGGATAGTCACTATTTTTTCCCTTTTTTTTTTTTTTTTTTTTTTAAATTACTAGTCATGATTTACCAATTTGTATAAACAATACAAAAATAATATAAAACATCTCCACATTCTAAGTGGCTTTTTATTAAGACTAGCATCTATTTTCTCTTACAATTTGAAAAGTCAAAGAACAGCTGTATAAAGTGTTTTACAAAGTTTAATTCTGACTTCATTTCTGGAAGCTGTTTGGCCAAAATAGAGGTTACCAGGTATTTTTTAAAAATTTCAGTTTCTGCTTGACCTTATTTTATCACAGTCTTCACGTCATATTACCCCCTGTTTAAAGTATTAGTGTAAACAAACAATATAGTATTGTTGAAAAACCATCATTGAAATTTATCTGTACTCTAAAATCAAAGCCGTTTTCTTAAGATTTCTTCATATTAATTGCTTTTGTTTTTCACGGGTGGGGGTCCGCTTGTCATGCAAGAACATTTCTTTAACATGAGAAATCATACTTTTCTACAAGTAAAAATTTATTTTGTGTCTAAAACTATTTCACAGAATTTTTGTCAGGTAAAGACAATCTTTTGGAGGTTTTTGTCCTAGTTAGATCCTAAAATGGGCTTGTTTGTGTGTGTCTTTTGTCATCAAACAAAGAAACTGTGAAGAATATTTATAGATAACCAATTCTTTCAAAAATTTCAAAACACTCACACACAAGCCCTTATGAAGTGTCCTTTGCCAAGAATCTATACTATATTGGTAAATTGTTTTTGTCAATCATCATACAGCTAGTACATTTTTAAAGATGTTTAGAGTTCAGGATTTTATTTTGGGTTTTTTTTTTATTTTTTTATTATGGCTGGCAATATAAAATTTTTAACTCCATTGGTTTTCTTTGCTTGCATTGCTTTAGTCACAATAGTTTTAATAAACAGTCTTCTTTTCTTTTGTGTGTGTGTATATATATATATATATATATATATATATATATATATAGTGCCAGTCGACTCACAAAGCGAGTATGACCATCACTGACATGTCCAGTCCATCAGTTAAACTCCCCACCACAAAACATCATCACATCCAAAATGTCTTTTTATATGCATTGTCAGGTTTGACCTGGACTTGAACACACTAGTGCAGATCAGCCATTCAAAGCATGCCATTATATATATATATATATATATATATATATAATGCCTAAGATGTCCTTTTTATATAATATAAGCATCACATCATACATTGATATTTACTTCAACATCCTCTAATATGTTTGTGTGTGTGTGATTTATATGGACTTACATGTTACATAAAGGAAGGGATATAGAAGATATCTCGGCTAAAATAATACACACCTCATAAAAATCCTCCATAAATTGAAATCTTGTTACTGTTTAAATGACTTCATAGACGCACATAATGTGGTTTCAAGTAAAATGTTCTGTAACGATTATAACGTAGCAAAATGTTGATCAATATATTGACGTTTTCTAAAATTCCTGCTCTTGTAAAGGCACTTGATCTCCCAGATTTACCATTTCCCTTGTATAAAACTGAAAACTACCAAAAACCAATGCATATCACCTAGCGGCTGTAATTTTGCTTTCCATTGTATTGGGGCACTGAGAAGTTTTCAGCATCCCTTCATATGATAGATTTTGGCAGTGTTTGTTTTTTTTTTTTGCCTTTGTTTGTGACAATGTTCATAGATTAGATGCCATGTTGATCATTCCCACTTGCATGACTGAACCTCCGTCTGTGCAGAAAAAAAAAAAACCTTGTTTGCTCACTTTTAATAATTATTTCCAATGTCATAGAGAAGAAGATTAGTTGTTTGTGTCACTAAATGCCATTGGCAATGGTATTTTTTTTCTCTCTGCAGCTGACAAAAGATATTGTCAAACACATGACAGATACAATAGAACACCAGTATGGCTTGGATACAAGAACAAATTCCAATAACAAACTAGTTACTGATGCTTGGGATTCATTGCAACGACAGGTAAGTGGGTTTATTATCATAGGCATGACTTCTTTTTTTTTTTTTCTTTTTTACACATTTGTTTTGTTTTATTCTTATTTGTAATATCTAAAAAAAATACATATATAAGTGGAAACGGAGATCAATACAGTGGATACCGTCTGTTTCATGCCTGAACAGTCTTTCACACTTGAATGCAACCTTCAGGCCATATCTGCTGTTTTGGTTTGACTGTATATGCTGGTTAATGGTGCATTATGGGTAGCAAGTTCTATTGCAATGATTCTCATCTACCATGCCACACAATCTTAAGTGTGGCACAAAATAATGTCACAGCAGACATACATATACACACACACGTTTTACATTTTATATATATATATATATATATATCAAAGTATATAATTGGTATATACGGAATGAATTCCAATAACCAACAATTACTATTCTTAAAAGAGTGCTCAATACAAAGTAGAGCAGATATAATTATTTTTTATAAAAAAATTATAACATAAGTATGTTATAAAATCACTACAAAAATAGCCATTTTGTTTCAACACACTCTGTGTCTTATCAAGTGATGATGTTGAAAAGAAAATAAATGGTTTTTTTTTTTGGTTTTTTTTAAATCCAAATTTAATCACCATTAAGTTTAAAAACTACAAAATTATTGAGAAAAGAAAAAATACATATGTTTATTCAATTCATTTCTTCATTGAAATTACGTTCGACAAGACAAGACGCTACAATACATCCGGTCATTTGACAATACATGTATATATATATATATTTTTTCTTTTTCCCTTTCTTTTCCGTTTTTATTTTAAAGTTTGTGAATGTGGTCTTAAACTCACACGTAAAAACACAATCAGATTATAATACATAAGCACCCAGACATAATTAGATCCACACCCGCACACACACACACACACACATCCACACACAAACATACACACACACTAAAAAAAAAAATAAATAAATAAATAAAAGGAGGTGGGGGGGATACAAGAACATCTCTACAGCCCTTTATGAAAAAAAAAGGAGACGTGGAAACTAACTCTATACACACACACAGTTAAATGTGAAAACACTCTACATACACATAGACACCGATAGATACACATACATACATCCACAGACAATGACAGACAATGAGAAATCACAACCAATAAATATTTCAGACTTAAATAAATGCTAACCACTTATTGAATTATAACTTAAGGGAGCAAATATACAAAGATAAAAATGGTTAAAAATAATATTATTTAATATATTAAAACGAAAATTCTAAAACCATAAATATCAATAAAAATATATATTAATCATATAAGTTGATAATAGTTTCATTATATATTAGGCAAAGAAAAACAGGATAAAAAAAACCCACAAATATGCACACATACTTACATATATAAAAACAGTCATGATATACCAAAGTTTCCATACCCACACATACACACAAACAAACTCATACATAATAGGTGCCAACACCCACACATATATATACATACACAAACATACATAGATATATATATACACACATACATATCTACAAATAAACATATATATAAATATATCTATCTACAATAACAACTACCCATATATACATGCATACATAAAATACAACAACACTCAACCAAATACACATATAAACGTACTAACATATAGATACATAAATATACCTTCAAATACCAACACACAGCAATATACATATAGTCTAACATACAAATATATAAACACATTCATACAAACAGAAATATACTTAAATATAAATACACATACACAATAAAATAGGACATACCGATATATATATATATATATATATATATATATATATATATATATATATATATATATACACATATACATATATATATATACACAAATATATCGTGGCACAAAGCCGAAATTAGGGGGCACCCAGTGAGGAACTAACTCATTACTCAGTCGCACCCCAATCTAGCCGGCTGCCAACCATTATACTGCCGTGATTTTATCATACATATACATATACATACTCATACATATACACATACACACACATACATACATATACACACATACATACATATATACATGCATATATATATACATATATATACAACCACACACACATATATATATATATATATATATATATATATATATATACACACACAAATACATACATATACACACACACATACATATATAGGCACACACGTACACATATACAGCAACAATTATTAACCTTTACTCTTATAATCTACCTTACCTTCCCACATAATATATATATATACACACACACACCCCACACATACAGCCACATATATATAATAATAAAAAAAAAAACCCATAAATACACTTATACACCAACCTACACATTCCTCAGTGCAAATACTCTAACCAACACATAAATAAATATATACACAGTTACACCAACACTAATAACACTATGCAGGTAAACAATACACACTTATATCGTAAGTATGACCATCATCCAATAAAAATACTAATCTATTAAAAATACAGCGACATATCATTATCATTTAAAGTATACGACCCCTACACTAAGTTAAATTTATAACGGTGTTTACAATTTACTGTAAGTTCATATCTTTGATTTAAGAGATCAGCCTTGTTTTTAAATCTAATAATTTCAAATTTTTCATTAAGGCATAGGTAACATGGGGTATATAGGGAGTTACATGTACGAGCTTTCTTAACCAAACTCCATTTAACCGTAGGTGTTTTGTTCTTTTAGATTCCAAAAATACTTGGAAAATGAAGTCATGTACCTATATTCACTGTGATTAAAGGATTGCATATGCCCCCACCAGCGTTCCTTGAATGTTTTCATAGTAGAACCAATGTAAAACTTCTTTATATTTGGATTTTCAATTGTTGAAATAGTACCAAGATAGACTACAGAAGTAATACCACAGTTAGTTTGTAGTGGACAATTATTCGGATTCCTACAATTACATAAGTTATTTGTATTCTTATAATTAGTATTGCAGTTAGTAACCTGTTGATTAGTCAAGCCTTTTGAACTCCTATACTTGTTAAAGACTATGTTGTTATGTTTTTTAATTATCTGTTCCAGGTTATCAGCACAACTATAGCTTAATTTAAGGGTATTAGGATTAAATATTTTACTAAGTGGGTTAGTTTCAGGGTTGAAATGTTTTTGATTAGGTTTATAAATATACGCCCTAACTTAGTTTTGACCATAACATTGAAAGGGGAGTGAACCAAATAATCTTTCTAGATCTTCTTTTCTTATTATGGTTTGCAATTAACAGGGTTTTTATATTGAATAGTGGTATTTTTGTATCCACTATTTTTTTAGTGCAGAATTATAAAAATCACTATGTTTATTGAAAACCTCCTTATTATAAGAGTTAGCGCTAATTCTAAATTCAATGGAAGAGGGTATATGTTTGATAACCAAGGGGATGGTTGGAATTAGGATGCACGTATAATGGGTTGGAATTAACCTTCACATATGGTTGGAAAATGTTGTTAGCAAGATCTAGGGTGACATCTAGAAAATCCACTTGTCTAACATTAGTAGTAACTATTGTCCTAAGACCTAAATCCTTAAATACCCTATAGATCATTTTCCTAATCGGTCTACCTTAATTTTAGTTGAGTTTTTAACAACTAATAATCCATCATCTCTATATAATCCTACACTATCTGAATCTAGACAATCGAAGGCACTTTAAATTATATAAAAGAAATAATCCAACCAAGTCCGAAGCTTCAGCAGAATCCAAAGAACCCATGGAAATGTCAAAATTGTTGTTGCAAGACTTTTTGGTCCACTGTTCATCCTTGTAAATCAGAACAGAATTTGCACTTCATAATGATGTCAATTTCACTTTCAAATAAATAGTAGAATATTCCCAGGCAAAGTCCAATGCCAAGGTGAAAAGATCCTTCGATATAGAGGGATAATATGCGATAATATCGAACTGTATGAATGAACATTTTCCCTTATATCGTTATGTTGTTAAACCAGTTGATGACATCAGTTGTGTTAATCCACTGTAGCAGTCCAAGGGTGTTTTTATGGAGTGGTTGATTCTTTCTAAGATGGTCTTACTAATCCTACCGATTTCTGGTCTTGTAGGATTTATAAGTCTAGTGGATGGCTTAGTTTTGAATTCAGGTTTATGGTCCTTTAACAAGACATAGGCTTCTTTAGTTTGTAGTTTGCCTACCCGATCACTAATTCGTAACTTATCAGTAATTGATTTACTGATACTGTTAATATTATTTACTTGGTTGAAATTACTAGTATCAATTTTTGGTAGCTTCTGGTTAGACTATCCTTAACTAAAGTATCATAATCCTTAGGCAATAACTTATAAAAGTTAGCGTTTTGTCGGATTTAACGTTACATATCACCAGATTTATTAATATCACTGACAATACTTTCAAGATGTTTTTGAAAAGCATTTTATACTTATAGAAGGTTAATCCCTTGACGGTATCCATTAGTTCATTTTCAAAAGCAGATAATTCCTTAATAATAGGTGCAGTTTTTAGGCTTTTAAAACCATAATTTTCGCGTTCACACACTGGTTCCTTGTCTTGAAGAAAGAAGTAAGCTTTCCATCTCATTCTTCTGATAAGGTTTTCAGTTTGCAGAGTTAAATGTCTGAAATAATCCCTTTTGTTTGTAGTGGGAATGTTCTTAAGTGATACTCAGAAATTGATTCTATCCATATTATAAGAATAGAATAGACAGGGCTCGACAGTAATAGGAGCTAATATCAAAGTATATATATATATATATATATATATATATATATATATATATATATATATATATATATAAAAAAAAAAAAAGTGAACATGGAAGTCAAGACTCAGAGGCTACAGGCTGTTTCATGCTGGGCCTTTCGGTTTGGACCAGCGAATCTTAATTATATTTTTTATTATTATATTATATTTATATTTACATACGCTCTATCTCTAATATTGAGCACTTTTATATCATAAATATAGCAAACCTTAAAAGTATATTTCTTCAAATATATATGTATATATAAACCTTAAAAAGTATATTTCTTCAAATATATATATATATATATATATATATATAAGCAAACCTAAAAACTATATTTCTTCAAATATATATTATACCTTAAAACTATATTTCTTCAAATATATATAAATATATATAAAACCTTAAAACTATATTTCTTCAAATATATATAAAACCTTAAAACTATATTTCTTTAAATATATATAGCAAACCTTAAAACTATATTTCTTTAAATATATATATAGCAAACCTTAAAACTATATTTCTTTAAATATATATAAACAAAAAACTATATTTTTTAAATATATATAGTAAACCTTAAAATATTTTAAATTATATAGCAAACCTAAAACTATATTTCTTTAAATATATATAGCAAACCTTAAAACTATATTTCTTTAAATATATATAGCAAACCTTAAAACTATATTTCTTTAAATATATATAGCAAACCTTAAAACTATATTTCTTTAAATATATATAGCAAACCTTAAAACTATATTTCTTTAAATATATATAGCAAACCTTAAAACTATATTTCTTTAAATATATATAGCAAACCTTAAAACTATATTTCTTTAAATATATATTTCTTAAAACTATATTTTTAAATATATATAGTAAACCTTAAAACTATATTTCTTTATAAATATATAAAACTATATTTCTTTAAATATATATAAAAAAACTATATTTCTTCAAATATATATAGCAAACCTTAAAACTATATTTCTTCAAATATATATAGCAAACCTTAAAACTATATTTCTTCAAATATATATAGCAAACCTTAAAACTATATTTCTTCAAATATATATATATATATGTGTGTGTGTGTGACCAATTTTTGACTAATAGGGATAATTCCAGGGAGAGCTCATTGTAGACTACATAGCAGTATAATAATAATAATAATCGAGAAGAAAACCTTAAAGATTTATTTTGATATCTATATCTTTACATCTTCCCCACCTTCTCTCTTATCTTCTCTCTTGCTTTCTCTTTCCCCTGTCAATCTAATAGATATTTAGATATTCACGAAATAAATTATAACCGAAATGAATCGTTAAGGTTTTCTTGTTTATTTTTATTGATATGTCTGTGAGTAGTAATTGTACAGTGTTAGTATTTGAATAAATAAGTATTAAACATTTTAAAAATAATTCTTTTCACTATTCTTCAATTATGTTATTTTAAATACTTTGTTTTAAATCTATGGTTTTATTTCATAATATTTAAATGTATACCCTTTAAAAATTTTGCTAAGTGTGCTGTGATATTTTCATTTACTCCTAGGTGTTCCATTGCTTAAGATTCAGAAATATTTGTCTATTATCCTAATGTTTATTGGATGGGCAGTGACAGTTATGTTCCAGATTATTCTTCAGGCTAATGAGTAGGAATAATTGTGAATCTGAATGCAGTTATTTGTAACTATTTTATACTGTTGTTTGTTATTTTTTTTTTTTTTTTTTTTAGTCATTATTTATTACTTTATTTGTTGTTGATTTTTGTTATTAAATTTACTTGTGTTTGTGTTCATTTGTAATTTGTTAATTTGCTTATTATTGACTTAATTTGTTTGTTTTAGTTTTTGTTTAATTATTATTTTTTTTCTTGGTGGGGTGGTCATTTTATTTTAGTTTAAAATTGGATTTGTCTAAAGTATGTTACATTATTTGCATTTTATATAGTGCGTATATTTTTCATATATTTGTGTTTTTCATGGCGGTATTTTACCGGGTATTTGGTTTTAGTTTTCAATTTTTCAATAACATAGCAAAAATTTGTTTTTGTGTCTGTATTTTAAGATAAGTTCTGATTGTTTATTTGGTAATTCGTGTTAGTCTACAAAGGTGATTATAGCCATTTTCTCCTCCAGACAAATTTACAGTTTTTGGATTTATTGTTGATTAGTTGTGCTACTCCAAGGAAGCGTACAAAAATTGTAATGCTGCACGAACAAAATGGCAAACCCTAACATCGAGCAAATATTGTATTAATTTTATATATTGTATAAATAATTACTATTGACTAGCTCGGAAACACTTCTGATTTAAATCCAATTGGGTATCTGTAGTCAATCTGCAAGGAACAACTTTGTGGAATGGACATACAAAGAACTAACAATGTTCACTGGGTCATGTTTCATTAGAAAAAATATGAGAAAAGAAAGCAAATAATAATGAAATTATTCATTTTGTTTCAATTAATTTGCACAAGGGGGGGGTATATATATATATATATATATACACACACACACACACACACACACACACACACACACGATGCTGGTTCGAATCTCACTATGGTCAATTTGTCATGAAGGTGATTTCTTGTTAAGCTGGAGGAGTAAATGAAAACCAAAGTGTGTGTTGACCCACACCTTGTGAGTGAAAATGGGTAGATGGAATTTTGTTGACATTATGCTTTATTTAAAAACTAATGAATGCTATAATATTGTTTTCAAAACTAAATGCATTAAGCATTGAGTGGTCATTTGATAATAATCACCTGAGGATACCATAAGGTTGAAACCACAGAAGGGGATTCAACTGACTGCTCGATTTTTAAAGTGTGTGTGTGTATATATTGGAAACATTTACCTGGCAAAAGACTTTCATATTTTTCCCACTTTATCCATGTCAAGAATTCTAAAGCCAAGTCAAAAAGAAAAACTAAGGTAATTTTTTTTGTTGTTGTTCCTGCAGTTGCAATGCTGTGGTATCCAAGGTGGAGAAAACAGTTCCTTCTCGTGGAGCGTGTATAAACTACGAAGTGAATGGTATCGCCGCAATCCAGACCGTAAGTAATAATAAAAAAATCTTTTCATATTTTGATCGTTTCAGAAATGCATATCTGCTCCTTTAAAAATTGTTGTGGCTCAAAAGAATGCCTTGATAAATAGTGTGTATTAATCATCAGTAATCATTTTGATGCTAAAAAAATCCTGTTAATTGTTATGAAACTGTCAATCAAATAAATTAACTCTCATACACAAAAGTAGACCTGACTGGGTAGGAATGGTGTGTGTGATACTATGGACACCCACATAGAAAAGGAAGATTTTCTGTTTTATGGCCAGCAAAAGGTTCTTTAAAATTTTCTAAGTGGTATCCACTTTGACCAAGGGAGAATGGAGAAGTGCATGGAGTCTTTTGAAGATTAATCGACAGCAAAACCAGACATAGGATGTATCTAGTTTCTGATTTATATTACTAGTGATGCTAGGGACTGAGGGATTGGTTCTGTTCTGTTCTGGCCAATCTTACTACCAGACAATTGTCAAGATATGTAGATAGGCAAAGAGTTGGTTGGAAAGAGAGCTGATCTATGAGATCAACATAGGTGTCCAAAGTGTTACCTATCTACCCACCTAGATAAGCAGGCAAAGCCCTGCATAAAACATCTACATAATATTATATGGAAAACTTGGTTAGTGTTCTTATTTCTCAATATTTGTTACCTTATAGATGTGCAACACTCCCAAGCAATTTTCTTACACTATATATATATATATATATATATATATATATATATATATATATATATAAAATATTAGTGGTAACTATACACATACATATGCAAAATATATAAATATATATACATAGGTGCATACACATACATGTATATTATTTACGATTCCAATGGAATAAATTATGACCATGGAATATTAGTGTTTAAGCCTTTTTTATATATATATATATATATATAAAACATGTCTGATTAAACAATTTAGACATGTTGTGTTTATTTGTTTTCAATAAAAACCTTTCGTAATCACATATAAGATTTCATGATTAAAGATAGCAAGAAAGGTACCGTGGTTATATTTATTTATTTTTCTTCCCCCCCCCCAAGTACTTTCGATATTTTCGAATATCATCATCATCATTTTGAGTGTCTCTAGATTTGTTCCAGGAGATGACATTCTGAGGCAAGAATTCATTTAAACAAATTGTATTGAAGCAATAATGTCTTTTTTAATTTTGTATTATTTTTTCCCAATTTTTGAATAAGAACTTGACATCAGGATTAAAATTGTCCATGAACAACTCAGTTTGTCTCTCTTCTATTTTAGTTCCAGGACTTGCAATCATCTTCATTATTATCAAGAACTAAATAATGTCAGTTTTGTTGACAAAAATTATTGCCTACATTTTTTTTTGTTTTGCTTTTTGTTGGGGGGGGGTCAGCAATACATTTCAGATATAAATATAATGTATTATGAGTGAGGTTATATATAGAATGGCTTCAGTGAGCTTCACTCACTCACCACACACACACACATATATATATATATATATATATATATATATATATATATATATATATATATATATAAGCATATGTATTCATTAAGACATGTTTCATTGTATAATTTAGACATGTTCTGTCTACTTATTTTTGATAAGATCCTTTCATACTCACAGATAAGCTTTTCAGCATCATTATTGAAGGCCAAGAAAAAAATCACTGTATTGCTACAGATCTCTTTTATTCCCAAGTACTTTCGACATATCCATGTCACCATCAGGGTAGTGTTTATTACAAAATAAATTTTCTCTTATCCTTCAATAATGACATACATAAGTCATGGGTATTAAAATTACAAAATCCCAGATGTCACTAATAATGGGATTAAAAAAAAAATCCTTTACAAATTTGACTGAATAAATCTAATATGCCATGAATTTATTTCCGTTTCTTTCCTAAACTGGAACATAATCCAATACCACTTTTTCCAGTTATGTCTGGGTTATGCATAAAGACATGAAATAGCATAAAATGTTAATTGCAGAAATACTGTTCAGATGTAATGAAGAACAGCTATTCAAATGTAATGTCAATCAAAATCTCCAGTTGCCTTGATCTATCCACTATCCTTCTCATCTTTTCCTCTATCACTCCTATCTGATCTTGTTCCAAATTTTCTGTAACCCCTTGCGTCCTAGTGGCTTCTCGCCTTGTTTGGGGTGAAACGCTTAAAAAAAAGAAACTGTTTGCCAGAATCTGAAGAGATTTTTCTCACATAAACAACTTATCTTTCAAGACTGCCCAAATGGGCAGAATAGCCACTTTGTGTTCTTGGTTCCTCTTCTCTATGAACTGTTTGAACTGCATTTGCCAAATCACTTGACAAAAAAATATGTATATCCACTCTTTGCCACCATAAATAAAATGTTCCCACCTTGTTTGTCCTTTTTGCAGAAACCCCTTATGTGCCCAGCAGTTGCTGCAAGAAAAATGCCAATGAAAAACGCTGCACAGGTATAACACGTATGAGAGCCCCACCCGCTATCGGTCCACCCCTGGGGAGGGAGGATTTGCGAAATCCGGACTTAAATACTGAGGTATAAAAAGAAAATTCTTTTCTATCTGTTATTGCTCTGCCTCAATAAGAATTTTTTTTTTTAAATGTGAACAAATGAAAGCACAGCATTAACATTACTGAATTAAAAATTGATTTATTTTTCAAGTTAGAATAATAATTTAAAATGCCCTGAGCAATTCTGTTATGATAAAATGCCTTCAGACTATGTAACTTCTGTATTTACTTTACAAATTTTTGGCTTGAAACTGGTAATTGTTATTGAAACTGGCAATGCTTCTCACTTCCATTGTAACATGATGCTGTTTTAAAAAAACAAATGAACTCTCCCATCTACTGCCTTTTGCTCTTGGATGTTTTGGGGTTTTTTTTGGTGGGTGGGTATCATTCATCTAGCAGGATTAAAATAAATGAACAAAAAATGATTTGTCAACTTTCTCTTTCCTTGGAGATCATCAAATGTGATTTAATCTGCAGTTACCAAAATTTAATAAAAATAGCAAAAATAAGTATGCCATTTTAGTGGGTTATGCATTGTCTTTTTCAATGAAATGTTTATTTAATACAGCATGGTCAAAGTCTGATCAGACCGAAAATAGTATTGCTGCCATATCTCTTTCCAGTCTTGACAGTTCAAAAGCCTTAATGCAACTTTGCAGGCAATTATTTTCCACCCTACAACCTGTTTCCCCACACACAAAATGTCACAGCTTATCACTACAATAGAAAAATCTTCTGACAAGCTACTTTCCCTAATTCCACCAGTTCAGACCTTTACAGCTAAGGCCCACTATGCCATGTACACAGGGCCAAACCATCCTTACTCTCTTCATATTTCAATGGTAGCGAGAATGTTCCATTTGGACAGCTTCTTCCTAAGAGCCAATGTTTCATGGAATGGATTCCAAAGAGGATGTTTCCATGACTACTACAATCTTAACTTCCTAAAGTCTACAGTCAACCATTATACATATACTTATAATCTAGAAATCTTACACCCATAAAACCCTCTACCTTGAATGGCTCTAGGGTCTTGTATTGGTTGAAAAATAGTTAAGGAAATAAAATAAATGTTCCATTTTATAAATCGGTCAAATACCTCAATGGATATTTTCATATTATAGTCAGGCATGAGGCCAACTGGTTTTGAGATAGACATGCACAACTGTCAACTTTTGTTTTCTTTTTCTGATCAATTTTGTATCCATAATCTTTGGTTATAGGGTTGCCTGGACAAAATACGGGAGCATCTGCTTGAAAGAGCAATAATTCTTGGGCTGGTAGCTGGTTCCATACCAATATTACTGGTAAGTACAAAAGATATCAGATGTAGGTATAATTTTTATTTTTATAAATGTGTAGTCTCATGGAAATGGAAACTAGAACTGGCAGGCAGAGTTCAAATTCCAGCCAAGGCAGTTTGTTGTATTCACTTCAGATGAATAACTTGGGAGGGGGGGGAATAATGAATCCAACTCCATTTCCAGCTATAGATTTAAGTACTAGGGTAGATTGAGATCTATAGCCTTAGTAGGGGCAACCAATCTAGAAGTACAACTTTGTAAAGAAACCAACAGGAAACTGCTTCACAATAGTTATGAATAAAGGAAACGCTGGGTGAGAAACATATGTCATGAAGAGGATTACTTAGTTGCCTGCTTTACACACACACACACACACACACACACACATATATATAAGAGAAAGAACAGTAAGATTTACAATCTGGTGCTCTTAGTAATTATTTTTAAAAAAACAGTGCTCAATACAAATTTTCTATTTTAAAAATATGGTTCCATCGCTACACAGGAATTACCATATTTCAAAACAGAAACTAAAATTTTAAAATTAAATTTAAAATCTATTCTCAAAATGGAACAGACCTATGGATTTTAAATTTAATTTTATAATTAAATTAAAAATTTTAGTTTCTGTTTTGAAACATGGTAATTCCTATGTAGCGATGGAACCATATTTTTAAAACAGAAAATAACTATAATATATGTGAGAGAGAAAGTCTCATTTCTCTGCCTGCCTTTAACCTGCCCACCCCTTTTGCAAATTTACCTGCCCTTTTTATATTTGATACATTATCTCTCTTCTTAAAAGACAGTTGTGTGCTTCAGTCTGCAAAAAGGTTTTAGTAACATTTATATCTGTTCAACTTTGAACCATTTGGCCAACACTAAAAACAAGACCTTAAACATAACGTCAATGGCGAAAGATTTTTGTTTTTTTTGTTTTGTTTTTTTTTCTGACAACTGTATAAATTTACAGACTATTGTCCTCATCTTTGTTTCCATATTTATCACATTTCAGCCATTGTACGCTCCAGCTTTCTTTAGGTGGTTGGAAGGTCAAACTTAACCCTTTATTTTGCTCATTAGGGTAGACCATTCTAGTTCCACATGACGTCTAATGGATATCAGTTATCTCCTCTTAATTCCCCTCTCCATGTTCTCCACTGCCTTAACCAGGTATTGAACTCTCACTCTTTGGGTCACTGGATTTAACTAACGTCTTTATCCACTGTGCCATGTGAGGACATCTTTGTCCGAATTTCTGGGTATTATAAACCTGTCTTCAGCAACCATTTTTACCAGTGCTCATACTACAATTTTTGTTATCATTTATGTTTTTTACCAGAGCTCATATTTCAATTTTCATTGTTATTATCGCTTTTCTCTGGCACTCCTTATTACTGGTTACTATATTGTATTCATTTCTATACTTGGTTGGCTCAGGAGATTTTTGTGGCCTAACATTTAAGTTTACAAATTTTCCAATAAAATTTCTTTGTCTATAATTTCAACCTGATCCCACAGAGGGCAGTGATCTCCCTTTTCTCTCCATATATAGACATTTACTGTATAAATTTGTTTTCATGTTGGAATACAATTCAAGCCAATCTAGATTTTATCAAGACTTCTGTTACTATATTTACCAATTCCTATTAATTTAATGTAATGACATTATTTAAATTGCATGGATCCTTCAAGATTTTTTCAAAGATTGAAATTTGTGTATGTTAGTATACGTTGAAGTCAAAACATTTGTTCTGTTTGTTGAAGAATAAATTATTCTTTAGCATATAACAACTATAGAGCAATCACTGTTGGGTAAACAATAACTTTGATCAAAAGTCTAAATTTGGTATTAAAACTCCTTAGAATTGTCCAATGTAATGATCATGTCTGAGAAATGCATCAACAGAAAATTGAGTTACTGTAAATTGTGATGTAGAAGTTTAGTTTTCAAGCCTAAAAATATTCCCAAAACTAGGAGTCTACTTATATGGCAGATATAAAATGTAATCCTTTGCTATGGAGATGTAAACAAGTGTCACAGCACTCCTAACAATTACTGCACACCACTTACCTACCTCAAGCAGGCTTGTGTTTGGTGAATATATTTGGCATATTAACACAGAAATTAGTATAAAATAGTAACACAAATTCAGTATTCTATTAACGTTAAAGCACACATTGTGTCCAACTACTGATACACTGAGTATAAACACTGATTGAAGTGCTGTTTAACTCGGTCATTCTATGGGATACAGATCATCTGCACAATTTCATGATACTGATGCATAATTGGTGTTTATTGAATATAAAGAGTTGACGGTTGACCTATATGTTAGGTATAGAATTTTGAGCTAAAAATTTTGAAGTCGATTTGTATGTCTGATCTAGCATTCTGGCACAGGAAAAAATGACGTTACTTTTGGATTCGGTTCCCTAAAATTGTTTAATATTAGCCAAAACCTTCCATGCACCATTTAAAAAAAATATATTTAGTAAGCATCTGTCATGGAATCTCATATTCTAAAAAGATGCTAGTCTTGTACAGTAGATTTAAAACTTTGTATTTATCTTGACTTATTTTGGCCATGAAATGAATAGTTTATTCTGCACCTCATTTAGGCTTTGAGCCAAGAATACTTATAGAAAACTTACTGAATATCATGCAAATCTCTGGCAAATGAATGAATATGAAGTCTCAATCAAATTAACTAATTTTTAGGTTTACTTAAAAAATATTTTATGGAATATTCTAAGATATTCATGTCTAGAAAAGAAAATCTTATCTAACATGTTTCATCCTTTTCACTAAATGAGGGAATATATATATATATATATATATATATATATATATATATATATATAATGTAGGGTGAAGAACCAAAAATATAACACATATAGACAATGATTAAACATTTTGAAAAACCATTTTATGACCACTTTTGTTTATTGTTGTGCTTTTAAAATAACAAATCCTATTAAAATGTTGGTTTTGTTATGAAAAGTGAAACACTGTATAATTCTAAACATAAATTTACTTAAGTCTCAGAAATCAGTGCACTTTCAATATGTTTTAACATTAATAAATTACCTCACTTTTAATTAAAGCTGCATTTTATTTTGCTTCTTTCAATGTTTAATTATGTGACTGTATTTTTTTTTTATTTTCCATTTTGTTATTCTCACCTTTATTCTGCTATATAGAATTTCTATATCATATTCTCCCATATTTATGCCTGTAGCTAAAAATTTCCTTTAACTTTGAGGAAGACTACAAGCATTACTTAAATATCTAACTTGATATGATTCTACTGCTAGATGGCATTTTGTTGTTGTTTTTTGGGGGTTTTTTTTACTATTTTATATATACTGGACTCTCCTGCCATTTTTTTTTTATGTATGAACACAATTCCTAGTAATCGACAGCCAGACACCTGCACATATGATTTGATTCTAGTTGTGAAGGCACACTTTTTGGAAGAGCCGAATACAGAGACCTGATGCACCATGTGCCACAAAGTCCCCAAACAACCCTCTGCAGAATTATCCTTCTCCTAGACTAGTTGCCATCCAAGGATATAGAAGCCAGTCTATCCTATGTACCCATAGCTGAGGGAAGAAGAAAATTCATACCTTTCCCAAGAGTATTAGTTTGTAAGTGAATGCAATGGATTCAAACTCAGCTCTCCAATTCCTCAATCCAAGCACCACTATTCATTACTCCACCATGATATATATATATATATATATATATATATATATATATATATATATATATATATATATATATATATATTCATTCAAGAAGAAAAAAAAGAACTTAACATATCAAGAAACTAGATAATAAATTTATTTTTACAGATAAAATGTTTTTTAATATCTGCCTCATCAGACTGAAATTACAAAATGGTTTAAATTTATCCAGACAATTTATTAAAGATTATTTTAAAATTAAATTGCAAGAGAAAAGGAAGTATATGTCTAAATTACTTGACCTAGAAATATTTTCCTGGGGATTTACATTATTGAAGAGAGAAAAAGAAGCAAAATGGGCAATGACAGCTAGGGAAATACATTGAAATTAAATAAAAATTTTTATTATCATCTACATCAATATAATAACAACCATTTTATATATATATATATATATATATATATATTTTATTTAAAAAAAAATGTGAAAAAATATAATATATAAAAAAAGTAAATTTATTATATCAAATTTATCTTCATAATTATAAAATACATCATATGTGTGATATATAAAAATAAACACATCTACACAAAAACACGGGTACACACATATATACAATGCATGCATACACACACACATACATACAATAGTTTATATGTAAAAAATGATAACTCATCATCCCAGAAATTTAGACTAAATATTCTTGCAAATTTGAATTGATCCACAACAAAGAAAAGGTGGGAAAAGTTTTTTAAATATAAAATATTTTTATTTTCATTTTTTTTACAACTAAATTTTTCTTAGCATATAAGTGTTAAAGTTGTTTAAGATGAAAAGAAATGTTGTTTTTTTTTTTTGTGTGTGTGTGACAAGAAAGAGGCAAGGAAGAAAGTGCAAGTGTCACATTGAGGAAAACTGGTGAATAAGTAAAGGAATCTCTTTTAAGTCACAAATGTGTTGCAATGTATCTCTCTCCTTGCTGGCTTGTCTGGTCTAGAAAATCTGCTTATATACTCTTCAAAGGGATCACGAATCATGTTGAAAACACATGTTGAAAAATCTAAATGTTTACTTTCAAAGGATTTTACTTCATTTTTCTGCTCTACAAAATCATTTCTATTGTTTATTATGAATTCATTTTGTAAGAATTTAAAAATTTGGGATGAATTAAAAGTGAGGTATGTCTGTCTTACTATTCTTGCCCAAAGCTGATTGAAAACATGAAGAATATAATTTTTATTTCCTTTTCAGGCTGTTGGCATTGTGGTTTCCTGTTGCTTATGTCTTAAGGTTCGACGTAACGCAGAAGATGAAGAGATAGACCTCTAGGTTGGCTGTGTTGGCACACCAGGCATGCAGAATTACATCACAGAGGAGACTCCAATAAAGCTAGATAATATAAGCTGATGTGATGGGTCACCCCTGACTTGTAAGACCAGACTTATTCTAACACATTTACACCACTATACACAGACAGACGAACGATACGTGCTGGGGACCTCCACACAATCACCTAGACGTGATGGATCACAGTAAGAAAACAAGCCGACATCTGTAAATTTGGGAAGATAAGAGAACCACAATTTTGGAGAACAGAACAAAAAAAAAAAAATTAAATAATAAAAAGAATGAAGTATAGAGAATGTCCCTGCCCCCCAGCAGGATTCCCCAACCCTCACCAACTTTTTTTCTTCTTTTTTTCCTTCATATGAAAAGCTGGATAACGAGGACGGGGAATTTAAGGTTTGTTTATGAGAAAAAAAAATGTTGACATTAGTTTTCTTGAATAGGGTAGCTGTATATGAAAAACATGCCTACATTTTTTTATAGCATCAGTAAGAGCAACTACAAACTGCCTTGACATAATTCAAAAAAACAAAAAATATCACATTATTTTAGGGAAAAAAAAAAAAAGAAAGAAAAATGTTTTTTATTCATACACAAAAAGAAACAAAAAAAAAACCTCAAATCTATCAAAACCTTGAAGAGTGTTCTCTTCAATTTTCTATGCTGGTGCCAAGGGGAAGTAACTCAAGGGAAGTAACTCCAAACCACTTGTGTCTTTCCACTCTTTGCCATTCCGCTACGCAAACACCCTCCCCGTGCTGCTCCCAGTCGGAGAAGTTCCTGTATTTTGTGCCAGGCACCCCCTTTATATAAAAGTACGAATCGTACCGGAAAGGAGGAAGGAAAGAATTGGCATCTATATACTTTGTCTGGCAGGACAATAAACGAAACGAAATGAAATACATTAAGTGATTAGTGGGGTGACTGAGCAAAACCCTTTCTGATTTAACAAACGTTTTTTTTCAATTTATTGCTTATGCTGAAGGCTGGGAGAAGCCATCTGCCCACTGTAATTAGCACATTCATAAACTTGTAAAATCCTTCATACCCAACGGTATCCACAAAAAAAAAAAAAAAAATCTATTCTTGCGGGGGAAAAAGAAAAGTCATTGAGAATTTCTGAAGACATTAACCAGTTGAAATTACCCCCCCCCACACCAAAAAAAATAAAAACATTGAAAATGGTTGATTTCTTGATGACAGCAATAAATCAAGATTTGGTGGTGGCTTAGCCATTTAAAAAAAAAATTCTTTAGAGACAAAAATTTAAAGAGAGGCAAAAAAAAAAAAAAAAAAACACTCCAAAGATTTATTTTTGTTCCTTTCAGTTACATCAGTGGAATATATATATATATATATATATATATATATATATATTCCAATCTTGTTCCTGCAAAAAAAAAAAAAAAAAAAAAACTTCTGTCTGCCTACTGACAATCCTTTCACTATATATATATATATATATTTTTTTTTTTTTTTTTCCAACTGAGCATTTACTTTTATTTGTGGTATTTTAAATATTATCAGGTTTGTTTGTTTTTTTTTTGTTTATCTTGCTTCATAATCCAATACAGACGAACCTTTATCAACTTGTAAAAAATTTTTGACTAAAGCATTTTTCTTACTTGAGCCCTCCCCTAACATTTTTTTTTCTTTTCATTTTTAATTTTTTTTTTTGTTTTTTTTTTTTGCTCGACTTAAAACTTATTGTATTTTGAATATGAAGCAAGGTGAAAAACTCTTTTTTCCTCTTTAAGGCACAATACATGATGAATACATAATGTATTGAATGTTGTATTTATACTTATGTTCATTTTAACATTTTATTTTGCATTTTTTGTATTCACCCCCACCTCTCTCTCTCAATGAATTGAAAATCATATTCCTTCATTTGAAAAAAAAAAAAAGAAAAAAAAAAAACTTAGCTTCTACTGAATATGAATTAATCAACATCAAAGATCATTAGATGTGTAGTAGGGCTTCAGAAATTGAATACTGGACCAGTAGAATCTGAATTGAACAGTATGTAGGAGGAGAAAAATCATTGTTATTCAAACTCGTATATACATTCTTGTTTTTATCACACCCCTTTCAGCCGATACATTCTCTGGCCTTCTTAAAATATATAATTTATCCGGTGGGATTTTTTTTTTAATTATATATACACACTTAATTCTTAATATAGGCTAGAGGGTGCATAGGGTGCATAAAATGAAAGAACTTGTCTATATAAACTGCATAAAAAGGGTAAGGAACAAGATAAATGGAAAATATTTAGTTCCTCCCCCCCCCCATACCTACAAATGTAAATTTTGATCAAGTGATGTGATAAATAAATTAAGAGGAAACAGCCAATGTCTAAAGTTACTCTAAGTTGGCCTGCATGTCCAGTCAAAGAAGTTCCACCCCTGGCAGTTCAATGGTTGTGTAACATATCCTACCTGAACAGGTGAAAGAAATTACAAGAGTTCTCTATCATCCTGATTGCAGCAATAAAGTAATCACTGTGCAGGCTGTCACAAATCAGTTGCACCATTTTTAAACCCTAAAGCCCCCCCCGCACCCACCCAAAATAAATTTTGTAACTTCGGTTTACAAATGACTGCTTATGTCCTGCCAAAATCTGTTATCAGCACTGTAGCCTGGGATGGTCCAGGTGGTATTTCTAAACAAACAAAAGCCTTCAAAACATCCATTTTTTTCCTATGAATACTTGTATATATATATATATATATATATCCGCATATGTTCCTTATTATATTTTAAAAAGTGATGATAAAGATATACATTTTTCTTTTCTATTTATTTGACATGTAGGAATACAAGGATTTTTTCATTTTTTTTCTCAAAATCACAATTTTGATTTTTTCCAAAAAAAAAAAAAAAATCATGTCAACTAAATAAAATATATCTAATAAAAATATAGTTTCAAAGTATGCTGTGTTTATGGGTAAAAGTGCTCAATATCAGAGAGCGTATGTAAATATAAAAGTGGATACCAATATCAACAAGAAGTTGCAACAGTATGTTTCATGCCTGAACACAATCTTCACGCCATCTTAAAATTTAATCAAAATAAACAAAGAAAAATTTTAGGGGAAAGAAGTATTAAAAAGTGAGAAGTTTTCTCTGCTTCCCTTCATGCATAGTCATATAAATATATAGTCTGAAGTCCTAATGGGCAAAACACATTACATGAAAGCTTTTTCCACATTTTCATACTTCTTTCCCCTAAATATAAATATATATATATATATATATATATATCTTTGTCATCACACACGTTATATAAGTAAGCTGATGGCAGGTCAAACAGATGTAGTGACAATGTTACAGTATAAAACTTAGATAAGATTCTAGAAGTGATTAAACTTATTGTGAAAAAGGAACAATTTAGTCATGGTGTAATATTCACAGGGATTAATGCAAATTGATTTAACCATTAAATTTATTGACAGAATAGAAATTGTATGTACAAATAGACCAGTCAAAAGCTGATTAGAGTTTCAAAATGTCCAGTTAGGATGTTAGGAGTCCCACTGCCCACCCCCCCACCAAAAAATGCCTAAAATGTCCCAAGTCAAAAACAACTGATAAGAAAATGCTAAAATCTATTTCAAATTTTTCATATCATGTTTGATGTCACTTTGTTGAGAATAGTTAATAGTCAAGTAAAGCTTAAACAGAATTAAGAAGAAAAAAAAAAAACAACTTTACAGTAAGTTATTTTTTTACCCATGCAGATACCTTTTTTTTCTTTTTTCAATAAGTAACTTGGATTTGGAACAGCTTGCTAATTGCTTAATTTTTATGCAAGAATTAGGACTCCATTTTTTTTATATTTGGGTCAATTAAAATAGCAAAAGATATTGGAATAAGGGTATAAAATAATATATTTAGTAACTTCTTTTATATTTTTTCTTTTTTATATTTCTCCTATTTGGATACAGAATATGAGAGACATGCTTTTGCTTTAATATTATTATTATAAACATTGGTTTTAGCTGAAGAAAAATAAAAGTAGCTGGGCCTCTTTGACAGAAAACCCTGTACTCTTGTTTGTATATCTGACATGAATCCTAAGTTACAAGATTATTATTCACCCAGGTAGACAATGAAACAAACTGGCATCCTAGATTCCTGAAATAAGATATGAAACCTGTTTTTATTTTTAAATCAAGCATTTGTTTCATACTGATTTTTTCCCTTTCTCTATTAAAAGAATAAAAATATCACTTGATCAAATTTGTTTTTTTAAGTACATATTTAAAATCAACTACAATAGGTTCCAGTTAAATGTAACATTGGTCTTACTAAGCTATTCCCTGCAACCAATTAAATGGGAACACAAATGTATTCAATATTTTAACCTTTCCTTTTAAAAGGAACAACTAATAGTAGGGATCAAAATCTTTGGCCATGATGTGTTCTGCTTAAGAGTTTTTTTTTTTGTTTTTTGAAAAAGGTTTTTTTTTTTTTTTTTTAAGTGCTAATGAATGAGAGAAAGTTCTAAAAGGAGCAAATGTCTTCACAGTAAAATCCATGTTTAGAAATGTGGCAGACATAACCTACTTTAAACTGAATCTGGAACACAGTATGGTATGTTAAAATATTAAAGTTTTCTATATATAATTATAGAAAAAGCCTTCATTAGTCTTAATGTTTTCTGCTATGATCAGGTTAGTACATGACATTTGACTTGTAAACTCTTCTCATCAGGTACAGAACATTACAATCAGAATGAATTATACAAAACTGTTTAAGAATATACAAAAAAAATGTTATGGTCTGTCATTATTATAAAACTAAATTTGACTAATTTTGACGTATGACATTTTGTTTTTTTGTAGATATGTTTAAAATGAAATATCATGTGCCAGGTGGTATGAAATGTTTGGAATATTGTAGTGAGGTTTGTAAAATTCACTGATTTTAAAGATGGTTATTTTTGTTGCATAAGTAAAAACTATGATTTTACTAGT